GTCTTTACCATCCTTTGAACTTTTTGAAGAACAAAGTTTGGAGTATCGATTGTCTGTCTTCCCTGATGGCATCCCTGTTTTAAGTATTGAGGCACTTTCTACTTTCGGTTGGTCTAGGTATGCACATGTAAGTTTAGGAATGGAATCTTTTGGCTCTTCCGGTCCTTACAAAGAATTGTATAAAAAATATGGATTTACTCCTGAGAATACTGCGGCTAAGGCCAAGAAGGTTATAGAATTTTATAAGAACCATTCTGCTCCTTCACTTGTTTGCAAACCATTTTAAATTAAACTGTACATGTAAATTTTGATTAAATTAAATTTGATTAAATTAATGATCAATAAATATGTTACATAGTTCATACGTATATACTGTACATAACTTTAGCTAATTTTTTCTGTAAGTAAAAAAAATATGATCTCGCGCTTATTTGCTCGTATGATTGTAGATCAAAGCGTGATCTTTGGCCAATTAATTCAGTTACTATAACCTTTATTAAATATATTAAAGTTTGATTTCAAGAGTATATACTGTATATCAATATATATTTAGAGATTTTATTATAATAAACTTGAAATTTCAAAATTATTTTGTTGATTCTCTATAAAAATCAAAATACAAAATTTATATTAAAAAAACAGTTTAGCTTAGTCAGATAACCCGCGGGTTTGTCTGGCGGATCACCCGGGTTGGGTTTTTTTTAGACGGGTCCAACCTCTGTTGTGGACATTACAGATTTTAATATATTTGATTTAAACTACCTATTAAAATAATACCAGCTCTTGAAGTACTCTTCTGTGACATATTAGAGTATTTTTATTATTAATCTTTCTATATTTTTCTAGTAGTAAAATAGTCGATGAAATTAGTCTCCTTTAACCTTTATTCTAGTTTAATTAATGTCGCGGATCATGGTGAAATTTGGATCATCGTGAAATTAATATGTAATTAATACACGTGATTGGTTAGGGTTAGGGTAATTAGCCAATGAGGTTTTTAGATTTCACGATGATCTAAATTTCACCATGATCCGCGACAATTAATATCATATCTAACAAAAAAAATAAATCTTAAAACAAACCAAATAAAATCTATATACTGTATTTCTACTTAAAAGCAACTACGATTACTGCTACCCTTATTAAATTACTTTATATTTTTATTAATTTAGATCGGAAGTGAAGCAACAAGTTATATACTAGTATTAATAAAAGTAATTATTGATATATTTATCAAATCTTATTTTTTTATTTAATTATACTTTGATTTCTATAGACCAATGTCAAGAAAGTAAATAGCTTATTAAAAAAAGCTAGTAAAGCAAAAAAGATATCATCACTATTAGTAATATTACTATTATTATTATTATTATCATTTGTATTAAGAAAAAAACAAAGAAATTAGATTTTTACAAATTTCTTTTCGAAGAAACAATATGTAGAATTTGATTTTTGTCTGAGTATAGATATATCTTTGCAAGCTGATAGATTGGTAGATATTCTAGAGACTAGAAAATTTATTGTACATATATTTGATCAAAAAATAATTACCTTTAGTTCTTCTTGTTTCTATAAAAATTTAAATCATTTATTAATAGATTTTGAACAAAATATAAAAGTTCTTTAGAAAAGTATATATGATATTGAGATATAAGTAAATTGAACTGTATATCACAACTCTTCCTGACGATTACTTGTACCAAATGTTTGACTAATGAAAATGGAAAACTTGTTAGAAAAAGTAGAAGAGACAACTAAAATAATAGTTTTTACAGAGGTCAAAGCTTTTGGTTATTTTTGTCTAGACTTCTCTGTATATTCAGCAAGCAAGTTAAAAATATTTTTGTGCAAGATAACTGGCAGAAGGTAGTGCTTTTGTACAAAAAATTTTAATAGAAGCATAGTTTTTGCTGATGAAGTTAAAGTTAGCTGGTCTAAAAGAAAACAACAAGCAAGTTTTTAACACACTCCCTATCGAAGTTAAGGTTACTTGCAAATTGAAACTCTCTACCAAGATCCTACTCTCTGTTCATTACAAAATTTTGACAAAAAGTGAAAAATCTGGCATATTTTCATTAAAAGATCAATAACAACAATTACTGTCAAAAAAAAAAAGTCACGTACAAGAGTATGTGTCTACTCTAAGATAAAAAATATCTGATCAGTTTTCTTAAGAGGTTGTGATATTTATACTAAGATTATTAAAGTTATTAACTTTGCCCAGGGAACAAGCATAAGCATGAGATTATATTGCAGGATACTGTGCTGAAAACCTGGTGGGACCGCAAAAAAAATTTCGAACTTGGATCTCTACTTAAGAATAGATATTTTATATATCTTAATATAGACATAAATAACTAGTATAGAGTTTAAACTAGTTTATTTAGTAGTATTATATATATAATTTTTACAATCCAGCATGAGTTTAATAGTGCTTGCTATCTTTGTTTTCTTTTTTTTATTTTATTTTTTCTTTTGTATATTATTTTGGTTTTATTTGTTTAAGTGGATTGAATTTAGACGTCAAGGTATTACCTCTTTTTTTCTTTTTTGCCTTTTGAATTTGTGTTTATATTTTATTTTGTAAAAAAAAAAGATAATACTGATATAGCATGTGGCACCGGCCAATAATCGAAGAATTCATGTCTCAAGTAAGTTAGAGGCTCGGAGAGAAGCAAACGACCACTAAGCAATATCACATCTGGGTTTTTAAGTCAAGTGAGTCACTGATTACAGTTAAAGAAATAACTATAATCAAGAATTTTTATAATTTTTGGGTGGTAATACCTTAATAAAACAGTAGCAAAACATGCTGAAAAAAAAAATAAAAATAAAAATAAAAAAGTAAATTAAACTGTGAAGATATATAGATTCAAAATAATTAATATAGCAACAGATTTTATTTCTATATTTACAAAACATTTTGATTATACAATGAAGTATGCTAATTAGCTTTGCTCAAGAAAGTTTGAATTGTATATTTCTCTAGAGAGGATTCTATTGTATCTATACTAGCTCTGTGAGAAACTTCAAGATAGAGAATTAAATATTATATATATCTGATATAATAAGAGATTTAAGAATATATGAATAAGTATTAGATAAATTTCTAAGTAGCTATATTAAAAGTATATATAGATTTTGAATCATTTTAAAGTTATTATCCTATTAGAATTAATTTAATCAAATTAATTTATATTTATACTATATATTAGAAATTAAAAAAAATAAATAAGCTATTTATTTATTATAAATAATTAACTAATATAGACAATATTTGTGAAATATTTTATGTTAATATTTAGCAGATAACAAAAGTCATTATTTTTTGTCTTACTATAATTGTATAATAGAATTTTTATATTATTAATCATAATTTTTATCACAGAATTATTTTTTTTCTTATTAATTATTTTTTAATTTTTCAAATAATAATAACAAAAATAATTATTCAACTCTTTCTACTGATCATCAAAACACAAAATTTCTGAAAACCAAAATTAACAATAAACTTAAAAAATACACAAAAGTCGTTAAGAAATTAATCTTAGATTTCTAAATAAAAAAGAAGAGGATAACAAGAAACACTTAGGCTTTTAAGAGACTTGAGTAAAAAAAAACAGAAGTGGCAAAAAAATAAAATAGTCGTGAAAAATCATTACTATTTTTTTGCACTTTGTGAACTTTGGGGAATTGGCCTTGACCCTAAATTGCAGATTTGTTTTGGTAACACAAGAATCACAACATGTAATGAAAAATAAACAAAAGAAATACAACAAAAACTATATGACAAAAATAAACAAAAATAGCAAACAACCACAATAAACAACAACAACAAACAACATTAGTCAAAAAACAACAAGTCACATGAAGCAAAAAAATAACAGAAAGTTCTGAAAGAAACCTGTTATAGCAGAATTAGCAAAGATAAAATCAAAAGAAATATGTTAAGATATAAAAATATATGGACAAGATTATATTAACTCTGATACACCAGAAAGCTTGAAAGAGGTAATACAGATATTCAGGGATGCCATCAGGGAAGACAGACAATCGATACTCCAAACTTTGTTCTTCAAAAAGTTCAAAGGATGGTAAAGAC